TCCCTACTGTATCCTCCACTCACTGAAGATTAAGCATCTCCTCCTCCTCCTCCTTACCGTTCATTAGCATGTCCTTCGCATTATCATGTATGCTCTCGGTCTGTAGTATTTATGGGAGAAATTCATCAGAACTTAAGTTCCTTCAAAACAATACCAAGGGTAAAATGCAAATGATCTAGGACTTTGTCGTGGTTTAACCCCACGCAGCCGCTCACTCACCCCCCCTCTGGTGGGATGGGGGAGAGAATCGGGAGAGCACGAGGAGGAAAACCCCCCGGATTGAGATAAAACAGTTTAATAATTGAAATAAAACAAAATAGAACAGTAATAGTAACAGTGAGGACAACAACAACAACAGAATATACAAAGCAGGCGATACACAATGCAACTGCTCACCGACCACCGACCGCGTGTCACGAACTGCGGCGAGCCCCCGCCCCGGTTTTTATACTGAGCATGATGTCACCTGGTATAGAATACCCCATTGGCCAGCTGGGTCCACCACCCCGGCTGTGCTCCCCCCTCCTGTGCGAGCATCACCCAGCAACAGCCAAAGCATCAATGGGCCATCAATGCTCCTTTCATACCAAACCCAAAACACAGCACACCCCCCAAGCTACTGGGGAGAAAGTTAACTCTGTCCCAGCCGGAACCAGGACAGACTTCAAAGTGATAACGTCCTTGACCTATGCAAGGGATGGTTTCTCTCAAAGTGTTTTCAGTACAGCCAGAGTGCTCTCATCAGCAGGGGTAATCTCAGCTCAGAAGCATTGTACTAGGCTAGGAGAAGCAGAAAATACAGCAAAGTAGTCCTTCAGCAGCTTTGACCATAGTTGCCACTTAGGATACTTAATTCTTCCTGCTTGCTTCTGTCTCTGTTACCGGACCACATAAACATGAAATGTGCAAAAGGATGGAGGTGATTCAGAAAAGGAAAGGAAGGTTGATGCTAAAGGCCATAGCTTCTTTTCAGAAGCAGAGACATCCCAGGAAGGACTCTGACACACGCAGCTTCCTTCCTCTGAACACTTTATGGGCTGCTGTTGTAGCCTTCAGTGACTTACCCTTCAGTACAACACTTCACTAATGTTGTACTAGTGAAGCCAGACTCTCTTTACTTGATCAAGCTACTTGATTAGTCTTCGCCAGTTTCTGCTTTTTCACATGTTGATCCCATATGGTCTTTCTTTTCGGACAGCTTGCTTTCCATCCTAATTAATGTGTATACAGCCTCACGTACTTCAATTCCATTATAATTGTAAGTAGTTCTTGGAAATTCTAAATAAATTAGCTTCATTCTTCACTACTTCTGTAGCGTGGTTCTATGAACCAGTCCAGAGCATCATGAATCGGCAACATCAAAAGTATATCTGAATGAATGCCACTGGCGTGTATAAATGCAGCTTAAATGGAGTCTGCTTGTACAGCATGGCAAAACGCTGCCTTCTCTGCAGTGGGCTCTAGGAGAGTCAACAGATGGAAGATATCTCTCAATATAATCATAGCTTGCTTTTCACATAGCTAGATACCACTTCATTGTTAATTCTGCCTATAAAAAGAAATAATATAAAACAGTAATCTTGGCAAAAGGCAGGAATTACTGATGCTGTTGCCACAGAAGTTTTCCATTAGGTAAAATACAGTGTTACACCAAACTATTATTGGCAAAATATGTATGCTAATTGTTTTGACAGATATAATCTTTATAGGGGATTCCTTCCCCCAAGAATTTAAGGAGTGGTTTCTACCCAAAGAGCAGAATGTCAAGTGATAGGAAAAGTTACTTTATAAACCTGTCTCAGTTTCAGCTGGGACTTTCTGCTCAGTTACCACATCAGTGGTACAACCGATTGCAGTTCTCAGGCTGACCGAAGACATGCAATATGTCACTGGAAATTTGCAATTAGAAGGATGAGACTTACTAGTGTTGTTACTGCAGAAGTACTTTTGGCTAAGCATTTTCTGGTAACTTTGCAGTGCAGGGTTCTATAAAAGACTTTCCACTGCTTGTGTTTGTTTCACTCTCTTTTTCTTATGTGAATGTTTGTATTTGTATCAGAAACCTGACATGCGGGCAAGAATCTTATTGCTAGCACTTATCAGCATCACTACTACAGAGACTGATCTTCTGGGGCTGCACAGAGAAATTGTACTCATTTTTTCTCTTTGTTACCCATGTTACCAATCATCCCAATTCAGCATCTTTTTTCAGAGACATTTTCAGATTTTTATCTGTCTTGGCCATCTGTAATCTGTGACAATTTTCAGACAGAAAAATGCTCTAGAATTTCTCTTTTGGATTCTAAGGAACATCCCAGAGTCTCAATCCCATTGCTTTAGAAATCAATTAAAAAAAAAAAACCTGACTTAAGGTTTTTTCCCCCCCTTCTGAAACCCCAAAGAGAACTTGTCTCTTTCCAGGATCTTTGTAATATACCTTTCTGATTCTCTCATCAGAAAGGTTGATAAATACATTTCCTTGGACTCCTCTAACTGAAGTGATTTTCAAGCTGAGAAGACATTGTAGATTTTGTTGGCCCTCCTGTAAATGAAGTAATTTTGCTATCAAATGTCCGGTCTTCTGTCTTACAACAGGAAGGTTTTCTTACTTCCTTACCCGCTTCTCCTTTCTGAATCTGGATGATTTCTGAAGAGGCTGAATCTTTACTTCTCCACCAGTCCTACACTGTAAAAATCCTCTTGTTTAGTGATGTTTAAATTTGGTATTAACATCTCTAATTAAGAAATCGTTTGGCAATATTGTGCTTTCTTCTCGTTTTCTGTAAAGTGAAGTGTGTCCAGAAGTTGAAGACAAGGCTTATGGTTGCTGTGACTTCTGCTAGCAGAGTGGCTGTGATTTAGACCCTTATTGTCAGATCATCCTTACATCATTTAAAGATACAATCCATCTTAAAACTCAGACTGTATTTTCCTAACTCGCTTCAGTGTTGTTTAAACCAAGAGGTTAGCTTGCTTTGTCTTTTTGTTTGCTTGAAATTGAATACTACGTCAGTAGAAACGACCCTTGGGATATGTGCATATTGAACTTGTTTTTGTCCTTCCACATTGGCAGGACAAGATTATTTAGGAAACACTCTGCATCTATTTTTGGAGTGATCCAAGAAGTTACATATTTCATGATAAAAAATTTCCCATGGGATAGCTGACCCTAAGGATATGTCATGCAGTAACTTTAAACAAAATTTAGAAATGTACTGCAGTGATCAACTTAAGCTGTATCAGAGACATGTAACAATTGCAATTTTAGTGTTGCCGCAACCTCATATAATTTCAGCCTTACAGTCTCTCATAGCTTCAAGATCTTTCAGTCTGTGTTTAGTGAAGGCATTCTAAGTCCTTCTTCCATGTATCATGCTTCCTGAAGTCACCACAGTGAGAGTATGCATATAGATATATAGACACCAAGTTGAACATAAGCCAGCAACGTGCCCTTGTGGCAAAGGCAGCAAATAGTATCCTGGGCTGCATTAGACAAGCTGTCAGCAGGTTGAGGGAGGTGATCCTTCTCTACTCAGCAATGGTGAAGCCATACCTGGGTCCAGTTCCGGTCTCCTCAGTGCAAGAGAGACATGGGCATACTGGAGAGAGTCCTGTAAAGGGCCACTAAGAAGATTAAGGTACTGAAGCATATGAGGAAAGGCCAAGAGAGCTGGGACTCCTCAGCCTGGAGAAGGGATGGCTCGGGGATCTCATCAATGTGTATGAACGCGTGAAGGGAGGGTGCAAAGAAGGGGGAGCCATGCTCTTTTCAGTGGTGCCCAGTGACAGGACCAGAGGTAATGGGCACAAACTGAAACACAGGAGGTTCCCTCTGAACATCAGGAGATACTTTTTTACTGTGAGGGTGACCGAGCACTGGCACAGGCTGCCCAGGGAGGTGGTGGAGTCTCCCCCCTTGGAGATATTCAAAAGGCATCTGGACATGGTCATGTGCAACTGGCTCTAGGTGATACATGGTTGAGCAGGGGGGTTGGACCAAATGACCTCCAGAGGTCCCTTTCAACTTCAACCATTTTGTGATTCTGTATGCTAAAGGGTTTTGTGAGTGTATCTTTTTAAACCTGTTGACGTGTCTTTGGTATGTGTTGCCTGTATGTGCATTCTCAGTTTTCCTTCAGAGTCCTTAGTTTCAATATCTACATTTGGAGTAACTGAAGGAAAACTTGCCTTCCTCTTTACATAAAACTGTGGGAGCTACACATATAAAAGATAGGTATTGAAACATGATTCTACTTAGGCTTCCAAGATTTTGAACTTCCACTAGCTTTATTTGATGGCTCCTATTTCTTGTATTGAAAGAGACAGTGAGGCCTCTCTGCACTTTCTCTTTACTGTTCGTCTTTTTGAGGGGAACACTATGCCCAGTCCCCTTAAGTCCCCTTTTCAGTAAGCTGGATAGTCCTAACCTTTTTTGTAGATCTTAATATGAAACACATTCTGTATTTCTGATTAATCTTGTTACTCTTCTCTAAAACTTTTCCAGTTAACGGTGCCTCCTTTTGAGAGTAGGGCATGAGCACTGCACACAATATACAGGGTGCAGGCAAACCTCAAATGGCCCAAGTGTGTTTTTTTTCTCTTTATTTTCTAATAATTTTTAACATTGGAATTGTTTTTGGATTTTTGACTCGTTAGGCATCAAGTTGATGTTTTTGTGGAGCTATCTGTTGTAGGTATGAGATTTCTTTTGAATAGTAATAGTAAGCTCAGTATGTATGAAATGAGGATTGTTTTTCTTTTGTGGATTAAGTTACATAATTTATCTCCTACAGATGTTGTGTTTCATGTTTGCATTTCCTCAAACCTTTCTTTATTAAAAAAAAAAAAAGTTGGTTTCACATTTGTCATCGTCCTGTCTTTGGGTACGATAGAAGTTCAAGTGAAATGTTAAACGCTACCATTAGTATGGCAACTCTTTGATTTAACACTCAACATGTTAAAGTAATTACCAAGTAATTGTTATTTTGTTTGTTTTACAGGAGAATATTAAAAAGTGAGCCACCTTATCCACAAGAAATGAGTGCACTATCTAAGGATATAATTCAGCGTCTTTTGATGAAAGACCCCAAGAAGAGGCTAGGTTGTGGTCCCACTGATGCTGATGAAATCAAACAGCATCCCTTTTTCCAGGTAAAACAAACGACAAAACTCCCCAGATACCACTAACGTGGGTTAGTGCCTTTGAAATCCAAGTCTAAAGAACTTCTCTTGTTTTGTTAACAGAATAGCTTAGAGGTGTGTTAATTGCATGAATAATTGCATTGAAGTTAGTGAGAATATCCATGTGCTTATGTATATGGATTTTGTGCATACTACAAGAAAGGCATGGTAGATTTTTAATATATTCTGTCTGTTTCTAACAGTTACTTGAAGCAGCCAAAAGACACACTACTTAAACCGGAAGGTTTAATGGAAAAGACTTAAATTGTATGTTGTGTGTTTTTTTTTTTTTTTTAAAAGAAAGTTAGCCGCTAACATTATTAGTAAAATTTGAATATTGATAAAATTCACCATTAGCGATAAACGCCTCTTCTGTATTTTCCTTTGCCTAATTAAATCTTTAGTCTTGTTTAGTAGATTTTAATTCTGTTCAGATTTCAGTGTATTAACATTTGATTTCAAACAGTGACAAAGATTGGATTTGTGTACAACATCTGTACTGTACCATCCATTACGGTTAAAATTGTGTGCTTTCTTTGAAAAAACTAAGTATGTATTTCTGGTGCTTCTGAAGTTAAATGTATTTTTAATTAGTATAAATTTTGGAGTATTTAAAGTTGGTGGTATCAATTAAACCTTTCATATAAATATTTTCAATGTAATTATCATAACATCTAGCATGGGCAATATCTTGGCTTTTTAACTTCTCAGTTTCTTCTCATCCCTTCTGTATTTCCTTTTTCTTATAAGAGCGTCTGACAAAGTAGAGTTAAACTTCCTTTATTCACTGTTTGTTTTGGAAGATACATTTTTTTCCTTATACAACACTTTCTAATCTTGACTTCATTTCAGTTCCACTCCTTTACAGTAATAGGGCCATTTTCTCATAACTACCATATCTATGCTTCCTACTTCTAGCCATGCATTTAAGTAAGAATCCAGAGGCATTATGCTCTCAGGGCTCTGGAAGCTGATATTAGTAATTATGCATAGAAATCAGCAATGAAAAGTTGAAGATACTGCATGCATGCACTATGGCTTACAAAAATATAAATGTTGTTTCCTCCGAAATAGAGGAAGAAATTTAAGGGCTGTCACACTAGTTGTTTGGCTTATCTCCACTGTTAAATTTCTTTGTATTGAATTTTTTTTTTTTTAAACTGGATTCTGTCTACTTATATTTAAGTATGATACTTCTTGCCTTTACCTAAGCAAATTAGTAGGGCATAATTTGAATGCTTTTCATCTGCCTGTGGAAAAAAACAAATGGAGTTAGGACTGTTTATTTCTGAACAAGTCTCTTTTTCCAATACTTGTTTCTGTTAAATTTTCATTTGATTCAAACTTATTTTCCTGTTTTTGGTTTAGAATATGAATTGGGATGATTTAGCTGCCAAAAAAGTATCAGCTCCATTTAAACCAGTAATCAGAGATGAGTTGGATGTCAGTAATTTTGCAGAAGAGTTTACAGAAATGGATCCGACATATTCGCCTGCAGCAACCCCTCAGACTTCAGAAAGAATATTTCAGGTATTTTAAGAATTCACATTAATTTAAAAAAAAAAACAAACATTTATTGAACAATTCCATGTGTATAGCTAATTTGTTCAGCAATTGCAAAATGAGAAAGGTGGAAACAGTCCTACTGCAAACACAAAATTCCATGTCTCTCCATTCCCAGCTGAATGTCCTACCTGCTGGACTGAAGTCAGTCTGTCCTTTACTGATTCTTCATATCTTATGAGTCTTGTCATCTTGACTCCATCAGCCTGGGCCTCCAGTTTTGACGACAGCAACGTAGTTTGCCCATGTCCACATTATGCTCTAGTTGAGGTACTCCTTTGGGAAGTCGGAGCTAACTGCAGAGTTGAAAGTAGGTCTTCCACGTCCTTTAGGAGTGCTCTAATTACTAGACTACTCTATACAGATCAGTAACAAAGCTTTTCTTACCATCTCCTCCATGCTATTAAAGAGTGATCCCTACTTGGACTGCACTGTCTGGATGTCAAATGGGCAAAAACAGCCCATGTGCAGCCTTGAACTTGGAACCAAAGCTGCAGAGGTGAACAGCAGTTCAGATTGCTTTCTCTCCTCCCCCTTCTTGTGCTTTGTTGTTTTTTATTGGCTGTTTTTGAGCAGCTTAGTGTACAGAAATACAGCATCATATTTTGGAAGTTGTTAGATTTGTAATGACTGTAGCAAGCAATGTATGCATCATAATATGATCTGATTCATCCTGCGGCGGTAGTCACAGCTGTTCTTGTTACAGTACCCAAACTGGGCACATCATTAATATGAAGCTTATTTTGTTTTGCCATTTAAAATGGTTTGATGCTTACATCACAACATAAAAACTATTTTATGCCTTAACTTAAAAGTGTTCTGGGAAACTAGTTTGAAGTATGAGCCTTTATCACTATTGCAAAACAGTTGAAGCTGAGCCAGACTTTTAGCATTATTTACCAGAATTTTTATATTGTTTTATCTATAACTGTGGAGAATTATACAACTAATTCCAGGAAGATACCTGTTGACATTGAACAGAGTCATATCTACCCATCAATGAGCCAGTTACGGTTTCTGTATTATGTTATGAAAACTTTGATTTCTTTGAAAAATTCTTCTGAAACTTCTAATGTTTTGTATGCAATATGATAGTTTGTGTGCAACAATTTCAAGCCATGCCCTTTTCTGATGTCTTAATTTCACAGGGATATTCTTTTGTTGCACCTTCTATTTTGTTTAAACGCAATGCAGCGACAGTAGATCCTCTTCAGTTTTATATGGGGGATGAGCGGCCTGGAACTACAAGTATTGCCAGAAGTGCTATGATGAAGGTAATAATAATATCAAGAGTGGAATTAATTTGGTTAACTTGGAACTGCGTATAACTTTCAAAGCAGCAATCACAAGCTCGGCTACAGATTACAAAGTAGTCATTATTCATTTATCTGTTCTCTGTAATGGCTCCTCAGACGATCCAAGCATATAATTTGCATGTGATACTGTTAAGAAGTGGTTGAAGTTTAATCTGAAAAATGAGATGATTGTCTAGTTTTCCAGAAGACTGAAGTATAGTAATGATAGTAATTTGACTCCTGATAGTTCTTATTCAGCCAACCATTGTAGATAGTTTTGAAGCTACTTTAATTATATCAGAATTCCTTCTATGATGTATTTACCCAAAAGTATGTATAGTTATGTGAAGCCTTATAAGAACACATGCTATTGTGATGTCTTCGAACAAGCACATAGTTTTGTGGATAAATGTATGTACAGCCATCTTTGATCCTGTTTGTCTGAATATTTTGTATCTTAAGCTATTGTAGTAGTAATGATTTATTTAGTGATTATGTTTGTTTAATGTAACATAAGATTTACTCTTTGATTGTTAGAATAAAGTTTATGCATATTATTAAATAGAAGTTAAGATTATATTTTATCAAAAAGAGAGCTCTTTTACAATTTAAATGTAGATGAAAAATTCTCACAAAACTTTACTCTTTGTCTTTGACTGTGTATACTAAAAGTATTCTGCAGAACTAAATACAGACAGTTTCCTAACAGGACTCTCCATTTTATCATCATTATGAACTGGATCTGAAAGAGAAACCATTGGGAGAAGGAAGTTTTTCCATTTGTCGAAAGTGCTTACACAAGAAAACTAGCCAAGAGTATGCAGTAAAAATAATTAGCAAAAGGTATAAATATTCTATAAGACAATAAAAATATTTTCTTTGCTTACTGTCACCCACGGATTAGAATAATGTTCGCTACATTTTTGGAAGTGGAAAAATGACTTTAAAATAATTTCCTATTTGAAGAATCTACATAAACTTATAGTGACCTTATGACCTTTAAAAGATTCTGAGAGTCTTTTGAAACAAAATGTTATTCTTGTTGGGGAGGACACAAGAAGAAACCTAAAGAGTACTTTTCTGGTTCCTAGTTGTATTCTACCCTAATTTCCCCTAATTTTGCTTCTAACCAGAGTAAGGTATAAGGCCCTCCTATCTTTAGACTAAGTGAACTGAATGTAGGCTTATGCTAGCTCACTTTCCTAAACAGCCCAATTGATTGCCTAGGACATTGCTTTAAAGAAGGATTTGTAGTGTGGGTTGCCTCAGATCTAATTAATTTTGTGTGTGTGTGTAAAATGGAATTAGACTATGGAGTTCTAAGTTGCATCTTGTTTCCTGGATGTTCTGAAGAGAACACCACAATGGAGGCAGCTGACTTGCTTTGTACATGGGGACCATCTGGTCCTCTTCCAGAATAGATACCTCTGGCAGTTTCTGCCCAGAGAAAAATGAAGATAAGGGATTCTTTGAGGGGTGGATGGATTTTTAGCTTCATTTTGCAGTGTTCATTAGTAAATATGTCCCTAGTGTGTTGTAGAATGCTGGCAGGAAAGAGAAAGAAAAGTGTAAACGTTCTGCTATCAAAATGATAGTTCACAGTGATCTCTTCTCCAAGACATTTGGCTGTACCTCTGTTTTTTCCAGACTCTAGAAGTAACTGTCCACCAGACTTAAGTGTTGCATTACATGCTTTTTGGATAGGATAAGTTCAAGAATAAGACACCTAAATATAGGTGTCTGAATCAGTTTTTCGAGGTCTACTACAATTAATGGAGGCCTACTCAAAACTATTGGTGGAGCCTGCAGAGAGACTCGAATGACCAGGCACTAGCAGTGGGATTCAGTAGCTTAAACATACGCATCTACTTAGTGCCATTTTAGCATCCGTTGGTGTCCTTTCTGTCCTCCGGTTCCCATCAGTCTTGTGACTACTACCTTTATGTAGATGTCTTCATGGCTGATGTCTTCCAGGCTGTCCTATGCTTAGGCCACTGAATCCTGCTCTAGGTCTGTATTTTATGGTGAACTAGTTCACCCTGTAAGATTCTTTAACTAGAATTTCTCTTATTATAATGAGACCTTAGACAAGTAGTATGCAGTAGACACCTACATTTGGTGTTTTAATCTGGAAATCTCTGCCTTGTGTCTACAGTCAGATTTTTTTTTCTGTGGTGCATGCAGAGCTGCAGATCAGTACTCCCATCTCATCTTAAACTAATGGATTTTTTGTTTCTGGATAACAGTGAGTAAACTAGTATTGACTTTTCCCATAGAACTAAACTTTTAGGAATTACGTCCCTAAATGATATTACTCACAGGTTCTTTTGCTCTTTCTCCTTCATCTTGGTGGATCAGGCTAAATGAAGGTAAGAAGTGGTCTGTATACAGAGATCTTCTTGGGATTGCAGGCTGTGAGCAGTCTCAGAGCATGTTTGTGTAGTATTTAGAGGTAGCAGTAAACCCACACTTTGAATGGCCACACAAACCAGCCCTGAATAAGAAACTGTTAAACTGCAAATAATATTGCTCTGAGGACCACACTAGTAACTCTTGCTAAAAGGAAAAGTATAATAGGTTTCTAGTAACTTCTTTGCCTTAAAGTCAGACAGTCTTTCACTCCTACTCATCAAAGGTGCCAAAAAAGTGAATCCTACACCTAGGTAAACCTTTTCATGATACGTGAGGTGAAAGCGTAGATCAAGAGTTCCTCTGTGGTGTTGCTTTGTTAGTAGTGCTGGACCTACCTCCATCCAATAATTTGAGGTTTATCTGTGTGTCTGAAGGCCAGTGAAACAGTGGAGTCCTGTAAACTTGCTTGAGTTTTAGAGCTTCCCATTTGTTTTTCATGACATTGTCTGCCTAAAACCTGAGATAGTAGTTATTTATAGAGGTGAAATACTCAGAAAAGTCCACACACAAATTTTAAAGCTCTATGTTCTTGATACTGAACCTTTTCCATCTGTTTCCTGGGTCCACCTTCTCCTGATAGTAGTTTAGGAGGGAAAGACTATCTGGGTTGATTTTTTAATTTCTTAAGGACCTGAAATCACTTTCAGTTTAAAACAGCAACATCAGCAGAGATGCAGGTGGAACAGCTTAGTTTACTTGTTGATTATATGAAGCCTGCAGAAAAACAGAATTCTCTTGCACAAAATTCTCATCGCAGTTCTGGTCCTAATTAGGAAAAAAAAAAAAAGCAACCAAAAATTAAGAACATGTGTGGTGAGAGAGATTCTATCTGTGTTATCCATAAGGCCATTCTCTAAGTCAGTACAGGATTAGCCTTTCTTGGAGAGAGTTTTGGCAAAAATTTTTGGGCACTATTTGCCCAAAATAAACCAACATTTGTATTTAGTGGAAAACAAAATGTTCTGCTCTGTCCCCATTCACATAGTTTTTATAATGTTCACTGTGTTCACTTTTTTTGGCTATAGATTTCAGTACATGAAAGAGAACTTGTGCGATGATTTTTGCTCTGGAGCTAGTCTCTTCTTAGCTCTTCCATTTCAAATTTTTACGATGGCCTGTTTAGGGGTTCATTTGTATAATACAGTTCATATATATAGATGATGTTACTCTTTTTTCTAGTAGGATCTCATAGTTTCCATACAGCTTTGGAAGTACTTATCTCCTATAAGAATGCAAAAGGATTGGGCCAATAATTTGAGTCTTCAAGGTAAAGCTGAACTAACAAATATTTGTAGGAACAGAGGTGAAGTCAAATTGCCCTGGACTAAGGGAAAGGTTTGTTTTAGATAGAAACTATTCTACAATACCATTTCAACTTTTGCTGTAGCAAGTTGCAGTTGCATCAAAAACATTATTTGATTTGGGTGTGGTTTTTTTAATGTCCTAACTTACAGGGTTATGTGGAGAGTTTTGCTCAGCTTACTTTGAATATGCTTTTAATTGTGTTCAAGCAGTTGTAATATTAAAAAATCTGGATTGCAAGCAATTAAAAAAATAGGTGTAACGCTTTAATGTGCAATTTGCTCAGTAAAATTGGTACAAAATGACTGCTCAATTTTTCCAGAATGGAAGCCAACACCCAGAGAGAAATAACAGCTCTGAAACTCTGCGAAGCACACCCGAATGTAGTGAAGTTACATGAAGTTTATCATGACCAGGTATTTTGAAGAAACTATAATCAGCACTTGCCAAACACATTGTCATGTGTTTTCCCAAGAACTTATAGGAGTTAAACGTACTGTTACTGTGGAGGCAGCTTTTTTCCTAGGGCTTTTGTCTAGTGAGTATAGAACATGAAGCAGAAGTTCTGCATTCAAAGGAACTTGCAGTTACTCCAGCAAATCAAAAAAGTATTTGGAAGAATTGGAGTTGTGGATTCTGTTTCTGGTTTTGTCCTTGGTCTACTTTGTTAATCATCATACAATATATTCATTGCCCAGTTTCCTTATCTATGATACTGAGGTACCTAATCACTTTCCCTCAGGGTTGTCATGAATCTTAAAATAATATTTATGAAATGATTTTCGGAAGTCTTGCATATGAAGATTACATCTCTAGCATTTTTTTCTTACATATTAGTAACTTAATGGAGATAACCAAGTAGCTTGCTAAACTATCAAATGTGAAAGTAGAGTCTCTATTTGAAAATACATTGAGATCAGTTTAGGGTTTATTTGGAGACCTTAGTTGTCTTTTTCCTTAGTGTAATGCAAGTCCACAGCATGTAATAAGCCATAATTTGATCTAACTTGGAGGTTGGCCCTGGTTTAAGCTAGGAGTTTGGACCAGGTGTCCTGCAGAGGCTCCTTCCAACCTAAACTACTCTGATTCTAGTCTATGATTTTGTAATAGAACATGGGCTCTCTTGCCTCCCCACATATCCCAGTCTATCCCCATCATGCTGTTTATACAAGGACCAGCGGAGTGCTCATGTGGAGCACTTCTAAAATGAGCTGAGAGGAAGAAAAATCTGTACTGTAATCTTTAATGATAAGGAAGCTTTTTTTTTGCATTTATGTACAGTATGAGTACATTGTGTAGGACAGGACACTTTTTTCACTTTCCTTTGAGTAAAATGACTATACTCAGGAATATCTAAAACAATAATGTTCTTCAAATTGCTTTGCAACTGAATAGGCTACTCTTAATCAGCCAAACCATTGTATTTTTAGTTGCTCCTGGTAGCTCCCAGGTGTTATCTTCCAGATTACTCATGCACAATATTCTGAAGAACTGATGAAAATTTTCTAGTTTTGATATTTCTGCGGTTTGTCTTAAAAGAAGTTCCAATTTTTAACTTGCTCTAATATCAGTCTGATCAAATTCTACATTAGTAGAATATTGGGTTGCAGTCTCTTGGTGAGCCACAAGAAGTTTTCTAGCAGAGAAAACTCTTTATCCTTTCCGACTTTTCTGTCAGCTATTCCCAAGATATAAAGAAAATTTGCAGGAGAGGATATTTTACAAGCACTACTAGCAATGTGACTAGTTGGCACCTTGTGGTTCTAAGAAGCATTACCGCTTTCTGTCCACATGGCTCTGCTTCTGTTCCTTGATATCTAAATACTGTGCACCTTCTGCTCCTGACTATTTCTTTGAATTTCATTTTTTGACCTCTTCCCAGAACTTTTTTCCTTTGCTTGCAAATATTCCTTCAGGGGAAGGAAACGCTAGAAGCCATCACATGCCTACATCCATTGCCTTCTGAGATTGCTAACTTCACTTTCCTGTCCTGAGAAATCTGCTGTTTGTTTAATGGCAAGACATTTGAATTGCAGTTGATTGTGTGCTAATGTTGCCTTATAATCAAGGAAGTCACTGCTTATTGATTGTCTTGAAAAGAACAGCCATCTAAACAACAATTACTTTTTTAATTTAAAAAAAATACTCTTTAATGTTTGGGAAGATATCATTGGGAAGATGGGATTCAAATGAGAGAGTAGCTTTGGCTACTACTCTGTAGGGGATGAAATCAAAGAAATTCTAGAAAATCTTTGATTTCACGTTAAAGTTTCAGGGTGCTTTTAAAGGATTTGGTAACATAAATGGCTAGATCCTTATGCATATTAATAGAAAAATATCCCTACATCAGAACAAGCTTAAACAGCAAAAGTCTAGCTTTTTCCAGCTTTATTTGTTAGCCTAAAGAAAGGCATTTTGTCTCCCTACAATTTATCCATTTACATGGCGGCATTGCGTTTTTGTAAATAAATACGGGTGGACGTGGAGAAGACATCAACATTCTTTAATCTCAGTGAGATTGATGTGAAAAATGTCAACTGAGATGTAATTTGGTGCTTCTTACTGGGCTTCCAAATTGCTATGAGTAGCAGTTTTATTTCTTCAAACTTTGAGAACCTGTCAGAATAGCACCTAGCTCCTGAATGAATGTTGGCTTGTAATGTTAAATTTCTAACATCCCATATTTCTCTCTGTTTCAGCTTCACACATTTCTAGTAATGGAATTGCTGAAGGGAGGAGAATTGCTTGAACGTATTCAGAAAAAGAAACATTTCAGTGAGACTGAAGCCAGTCATATTATGCGCAGACTTGTTTCAGCAGTGAGCCATATGCACGATGTAGGAGTAGTCCATAGAGATCTGAAACCTGAGGTATAGTGACTTGCTTATGTATGTTTAGACATTAAGTTATTAAATATCTGGAATGTGATGTATTTCTGTTCCTCCAGCTTTTTCTACTTCTTTATTTTTAATAAAATGTTATCACTTTCACTTAGCAAATTCTGTAGATATTTTTCTGTTCATAGGTAAAAGTAACTGGTAGGAAACATTTTTAATTTTGTAAGCAATTTACATTCTAAATTGTTTCAAAAACATTCTTTGCCTATTTGGGGACAGTTTTTACTAGTGGTAAGTATATATTTATTGTATGAAACAGCTCACAAGCAGAGCTAAGTTGCTTGGGTACTTATCCTGTACATTTCCACCTTTTGTTTGATCTTAATTCCCTCAGTAGGGCTTCTTCTGGAGGTAGCTGCGACACCCTTGTACTGTCTTCTGTCCCAGTTAAACACAAAATGAACCACAAACTAACGCAGCCAACTAATAAAGATGTGTGATTTGAGTTCAGTGAGTTTAGTAGTTTCGCAAAACTACTCTTGCCTTTCAGACAATTCAGTTTACTATGGTAAGGTTGACCACTGCCTTTGTTCTGCTTCCTGGGGCCAATATTTCCTCCTTTTTCTTTGCCAACAATGGGCTTGGATATGTGTTAGTTTTCTTTAGCCCAAGAATAGTGTAGATTGATGTTAGTTAATCCAGTAAGGATGTTATATTGTATTGGTGATTACAGTCATCGTACCTCAGGAAATAGCTACTCTGTTTATATCTGGAGTTTAAAATGATCCACTATTCCTACTGATTTTTCATCCTTTTGTGACATACCTTCTGGTATATTACAAACTTCTTTTACAGTGATTCCAATATAACAGGTAAAGAAGTCTGCTAGGTGTTGGTATTAAACTGGTGTTGAAAATCAGTCCAAAATATATGCATTTGAAAAAATCTCTGTATTGGAGTCTACTAAATAAACAATTAAATAAAGAGGGGCTATTGTGAAATTCTAATGTGTCAGTTGAAAATGTGACTCTTGGAAAAAGTTTCTCTGCTGACATAACCAAGGAAAGAAAACACCTTTTGAAACAAGTCATTATTAAAAGGACAAAACCCAGAAATCCTTTCTCTCTTCATATTCTCATCATTTTAGTCTTATTACCATCTTGAATATGAAGGCCAGATTCGGTAAAGCAGAGCTTTGGATGCATGGTAAATTAGGCAGTCTTCAAATCTACATGATGTTCAAGAACAGAAGTCTGGGAAGTCCGAGTAATGAAGGGTTAGCAAACACCTTGCAGAATGCATTGCCTCCACAAAGTTGGACTAACCAGCCTGTCTCCTTCCTGCTTGTGGTTTTGAAAGTTACTATTTTAGGTTCAGACATGAACTTAGTATGGGATATGCAGGCTTCCCAATATAGATGTGGTTCGTGCACCTTTCTGTAAAAAGATATATATATATATAGGAAATTCTGTTGCTTTTCTAACAATTCCAGTCAGATTTGTTTGATGTTCAACTTTGACATCTAATGTGATACTGATAAGTCTATTTTAAAAAATATGGCTCGTTACTTGTCACTAAGGATGAGGCTTTTTTTAATTGCATGAACTGGAAGACTCTTCTGTTTAAGCAAGATCACATATATTGCTTAGATCACATATATTGCTCTGCAAAACGGAGGAAAAGTACTGGATAGAAAATAGAGAATTCACAGAAATAATTCGTGTAGCATATGTGACCATTTGGAGCCTCTTAGTAGAGGATTTGAGGACTGTTTCTGTGAAGTGATCATTAATTTGTAAACTGGGTTCTAAACATGTTAGAAAAAAACCTACCAAGGCAGAGATAATGTTGTTTATATATCCTTAAAATATATGTGGAATATAGCTTTAAGTGTGGGTTTTTGTGAAACACGTTTTATTTACCTAATCAACAAAGTAGTCTGAACCCAACTTAGGACATTTGGACTGTACCTTTCCTTCTATACATAACCAATTTCATTTTTGTCTTAAGAAAGGAGGTCTTTTTAAACCAATGCTACTGCAGTTCTTTATTTACTTGTTGGCTATATAGCATCACCATAGAAAAAAGACGATTGTATTTATCACCTATCCTCATTGTATTAGTATTTTTGCTGAAATTAAGCTTCCTTCAGATCCATTTTGCACAACATTTTACTATGGAAAACCGACTTTTCTGATTGTGCATTAAGATACAACAGCAGTACAGAATGCAAAAATACTGTTTTGTAGCAGCTGTTCTCTTTTATCCATAATGAATGCTCTCAGGTTCTTCTTATTGATCTGATTGCAGTCTAGCAATCATTTTTTTCCCCTTCTTAATGAATTCGAAACTAATTACTTTTGAGTCATTCACCTTTTGTATTACAAAATTACATAGGGCTATAGGATTTCTAATATTGAGACTTTTTCTAGCATTGCATAGATTAAACAGTAAAGGCAACAGCAAAATTTTGCTCTCCTCTCTTCTCTCAGAAGTTTAAGGGGGGAGTAGAAATCATTTATAATTCATCTTGGCCTTAGCCAGTTCTCCTAAGACTTAGCTTCACTCTTGTATCTTTCTTGACAAATATAAATACTCAGGGAAAAGAAGAACAGATCGTCTTAAATCTTCTTCCAAACTGCTAACAACTTGTCTGTCCTCAAGTCCGAGATGCCACATTCCAGTCTGTAAAGCTGGAATTCTCAGGGACTACTGTATCAAAGTTTTTTACCTTGGTGTAAGGAGTAGGCATTGGTTCGCAGTTGGACTGCTATGTGACTTTCAGTGCTTGAATGCCGGTTGGTCCCAGATCTCTTCCAGAAAGCATATCTATACTGACTTTGAGATCCATGCCAGATAGCAGTCAGTACAACTACTGAGCTATTGGTGCACTTTCTAGTCCACCAACCTTTGCTTTCAAATTATTCTCTTGCATTACTGTGCTCATGGCAATATGGCTTCAGTGTGTTACCACTTGAGGACCAAAGACTATTCAGTCACAAGACAAGACATGCAACAAGTGTTCCACACACAAGAAAGCTGTCATTTGCAACACGCCAGAAGGAAGTGGAAGCTTAAGAAAATTTACTTCTGTTTGAGGAAGAAGGCAATTCTCCATTAATGTTGATGTCTTTGCTTTTTTTCTTGTCAGTGTTCCCTGAATTATTTTCGTGACTGTTCTCTGCTAAATACCCATTTTCATTAATAATCTCAGACAGAATTATCCTAACTTGCAGATATACAGGAGGCAGATAAACACATCACATTTTCTTACATCCCAGAGTACCGTTATTTCTACTTTTCCTTTTTTTTCCCAGTGTCTCCCAGTTCCCCTTTTCTCTAGATAATGGTAAATTTTCTGTAGTAATAAACATAGGAAAAAAAAAACTATTAAGTATTCTAACCAATTTTCTAGCAGTGCTGGTATTGATTTTTGTCTTTGCATTTCAGAATTTATTGTTTACAGATGAAACTGATAATTCGGAAATAAAAATAATTGATTTTGGCTTTGCTCGTTTAAAACCACCTGATAATCAGCCTCTTAAGACTCCATGCTTTACTCTTCATTATGCTGCCCCAGAGCTCTTCAATCACAATGGTTATGACGAATCTTGTGATCTGTGGAGTTTGGGGGTCATTTTGGTGAGTGATAGAGGTTTTTAATTGTAACTTTATTGTATGTATTTACTTCTTGTTAAAATGCAAAGGACTTGACACAATTTCAGACTTGAATTGGGTAGATGCTGAATTCAAGTGAGGTGGAAATACTGCTGCACAAATAACAGGTTCCAAATACAGATGTTTTCCAGGGGTGGAGATTTTTTTTTCCTAAGCAGTAAATTTAATTCATCATTTCTGGGAATGGAAAAAATACTTGATACAATCTCGTTCTGGAAAAGAGATGTTCTTGTTAGGAGATTTTACAGGCATCCATATAATCTTCCTACAGTTTCAATTCAGAGAAGGAATCAGCCTGCATTCTGATTTACAGAAAATTAATTTCAATAGATATAAACTGGGTAGAAATACCATTGTGTTTTGTTTATAGTTTCCTGAAACATATGAATGTTTTTTCTAACAAGGACTCCAGAGAAAGTCTTGCATATTTTAAATTTTCTATAGCTTTGAAGTTACGCTAGTCAAAGTTTTATTGTATAGCGCTGGTGATGCAAACAGCACTCCATATTTAGTAATAGGGTTGTCAGTACATACACTGTGTTTGTTAATACTGCTTTGTTCTCATGACAGTATACAATGCTATCAGGACAGGTACCATTTCAGTCTCAAGACAAAAGTTTAACATGTACCAGTGCATTGGAAATTATGAAGAAAATAAAAAAGGGAGAATTTTCCTTTGAAGGAGAAGCTTGGAAAAATGTTTCTGCAGAAGCTAAAGAGTTAATTCAAGGTATGTATTCACAGATATTTCATGTACCTTATATTTTTATCTCAAAAGATAAAATTTTGAGAACTATACAATATCTGGATGCTGTGATCAGCATCAGAGTGCCTAACTTGACAGAGTAGTATCCACAGCTTGAGCTATGTACTGACCCCTAATGCAAGTTATGGGTAAAGGTGGACACATCAGAATGGCATTACAAATTGCTTGTACGCCTAGCAGAGAGCTTTCTAATGTAGTGAGATGCTGTTAGAAAGTTAGCAGGGTTAGAAGTAACTGAAGAGCTTCAGAAAAAGTGAAGTCATGCTTTTAAAACATTTAAAAGCAGAGTTTTTCTTTTATGTTATTTTTGCTTTTGTAAAAACACCAGGTTGAGATAAATGTTTTAAAAGCTAAGCTTTTGCAGAAAATGAAAGTATTACTATAATTTTTTCCTTGGGCTGTTTTTGAATGTGTGTACCAAGACTACTGTATTTCTGAGCTGCTTCATTCACGTTTGCCATGCTTTGATTCCCCTTAAGCTTTTGAGCATCTAATTATGTTTTCAGCATAAGATAAGACACCGATCTTAATTCTACTAAGATAGAGTTCTGAATTTCTGTGGAAGAAAGAAGAAGCAGGCTTGTAAGGAATTTTTGTGCCAAAAATGTAGGCATCTCCAGATTCAGACTTCAGTGGATCATGCAGAGAATCTGAGGCTTACTCTTTTGAACTTCATCCTAGACAGGTTTTAAGTGAAGAAATCATTTGGTAGTTCTGAGTTTGTGTGAAAAGAGATGTGAGTTACCAAACAGTTAAATAGCAATTTCTTGCATTTAATGATTCTTCTGGAGAGGATGATAATGTAACATTGTGTGAGCATTATCTAAGATAAATATTGGCATACCTAGGATAAATATTGTCATTACTTACTTATCAAAGCAATGCATGAGATTTTCTTAAAAAATAATTGCATTTTCTATTAAAAGAAGATAAATAGTTCACAATTGAAGAGAATGTAATATATTTCTATTAGGACTTCTAACAGTGGATCCAAACAAAAGAATTAAAATGTCCAGCCTGAGATACAACGAATGGCTTCAGGATGGCAGCCAGCTGTCATCCAACCCTCTAATGACTCCTGATAACTTAGGCTCTTCAGGAGCTGCGGTGCATACATATGTCAAAGCCACTTTTCATGTAAGTTCTAAGAAATCTTACGTTGTGCTAAATTTTGTAATGTGTTAATCTAGATTTTTGTATGTTTTAATTAAAAATATGTATTTGTCCTTATAATTCAGTGATTGCTTATAGCTGCAATTTTTTCCTCCATATCTAACATCTATGGTTGAGTACAGTGAAAACATGAATGATGATGCAAGAATAAATTTCTTGAAGACATTTATACTGATGGAGCTTTGGGGACTGAGAGACAGCTGTTCATGCAATAGCTATTAGAAATAGTCTGTTTCTTAGAGAAATTTATTAAAAGGTCTTCAAACCTCTATAAAAAAGAGAAGAAACTTTCTACTTAAGTAACTGTTTGCCTTTTTGTCCTTATGGTTACAAAATCAAGGTAAAATTTCTGGAACATACCTAGTTCATGTGTTTAATATCATGGATACTTTTTTTAATGGACTTGCTTGTCTACCATTGTATATTTATTAAAAATATTTGAACTGCAAGTGTCTTATACAAACATAGTGTTGATTCTCATGATTCCTTCTACAGAGAATAAACTGAAATTGAGCAGATTTATGCTGAAATACTTGTAGATGCTTATTACCAAGAAGAGAGAAAGAAAGGAGTTGTTAACTTGGAGAGGTCCCAATAATGTAACATAATTTGGGCTGAAAGAAAAACTGTAGTTTAAATAAGTGTAGTTTCTGAAAATGTAGCCTTAAATAGGTTTAAGGCTTAATAAAAAAATACTTCTAAATTAAAAAGAACAAGCAGGGGAACGTGCCAATTAATAGTGTTATGTGTTGGCTCTTAAATACATGTAAAGGCTAGTAAAGTTACTGTCACAGCTACAATAAGAATTAGTATGGATCTGTCAAGAGATTATGGTTTATCTTACGACTTACCATAGAACATTCATGATAAGCTACGAGCCATAAAATGTCTTAAACCTCTTGAAAAGCTTATAATTACCTTTTATTTTTAAACAGGCCTTTAACAAGTACAAAAGGGAAGGATTTTGTCTCCAGAATGTTGACAAGGCACCTCTTGCAAAGAGAAGGAAAATGAAAAAAACAAGTACAAGCACAGAGACACGTAGCAGCTCCAGTGAAAGTTCACATTCTTCTTCCTCTCATTCTCATGGTAAAACTACACCTACAAAGACACTGCAGCCAACAAACCCTACAGACAGCAATAACCCAGAAACTATCTTCCAGTTCTCTGACTGAAAAGCAGAGAATATCCTGTCTTGAAGATTTAAGTGGTTATAAACTTGGTAGTACCTATATTGTCTTCTCCGACCCTTTCTCCCTGTGGCTTACAAGCTACAGGAATATGTCTGTTGTTTTAAAAATGTATTTCAATCATACGTTTTTAGCTTTGTATTTCAATACATTTCTTTTTAGCATTAAGTTTGGTATCACTGGATATGGTATAATACTATTATACAACCAACATTGTATTCTCTTAGGGCTAAATTACTAGCGTGCAGTCAAGCTCAAGGTAAGGAGCTATGCTGCTCGTGGTACAGCTTGGAGGAAGACTGTTTCTCAGTGTCAGAATCCTCGTCCCAGTTTCTTCCCCACTGTTCAAAGGAAGGAAAGCTCTGTAACACGTATAGAACTCTTGGATCTTCTGCTTTTACCCAACTCTGTGAAGAATGTCAAAGAATTTGATTCTTCATGCATGTAAGGAATCATTGGTACAATGCACCAAAGCAGTATAGTACTTTAAGGCCTTTTAAATTTGTGGTTACATTCTTTCCCATTTATTTGAATTAAGTGCAAAATGAAGCATTCTGGAAGTCTTACGTTGTTTTAAAAAGTAACTCCATATATCTTGTTCTAAACAACTGGGAATATAAGTCTTAGAATTTTTTTTTTTTAATTTATTTAATTTTTTAAAAAACATCTAGGGTAAAAGATGTCTGATAAGGTGAGGCGTCTAGTACTGTGATACAATCATTTTTACTTCTACTTTTTGAATTTATTAACTTTTAAAATGTTTTACCGATTCTAAAATGTAATGCTATAAGAGAAAGTGAAATTTCATATTGAATGCTTTGGAAAATGATCACATGTTAAAATAATCTATTTCAAGAATTAATTATAATTTATATTTTCTTTTTATATTTACACAATAACTTTAAAATACTAAGATTTTTTTAAAGATGCAAACCCTCCACTTTCAACATTTGTTATTATAGGGTCCATACAAAATGTATACCAAGTTATTTGAATTTTGCATTGTGCAAATACAGCAGTTTAATAGTGACTATAAAATATTAGAATATATGTTTTCTTTTTTGCACTTTATAACATCAAAAGGAGATGTTTTATAATAAAGTGCACTCAGATCTCTCTTCCTACAAGGTGCTGAGCACTGTTTTACGGGGTTGAATGACCTGAAATCCACCTTATTTGGTGGTTGTGGTCATTGTGAAGGAGAATTCTGTACTTTGCAGGAGTGAATCCCTGTATATTACCCACTGTTTTCATTCCTTACTTTAAACTGCAAAGCTCTTTCTATCTTGCTTTTACATTGTATATAACAAATACTAGACCTGGGCACCTTGTGTAGTGTAGATGTTAACAACTTATGCACTGGGAATACTAAAGGGAAATTATATTGAACACTGTGCTTCACAACTTGTTCACTGTGGTGTTCTACAGTGAAGTATTTCCTACTGTGATAGTATAGTATGTACATAGTTGTTTGGAATCATAAATGTGACTTACAGAAACATCAGCATAAACTTTTAAATCAGCATATTTTATAAATTTATGGAGAGCTCTTTATCGCTCGTATTCTAAATGACTAGGGGTGACTTAAGTGCTAAAGATGACTCCAGTTTTGCAAATGCTTACATGTGTAAGTTTCCACTGAAGTCAGAGAGACTCCTTGTGTAAAGTTAATCATATGCCTAAATTTGTGTGATGGAAGGCTAATTGACTAGGGGATTTTGTTAACAGCTTGCTCTATCTTAAAGCAACCTTAATCCAAACCCTATGCAAAAACGGTTATAGGAATTGTTTATATCAGTGGTTTTATTTATAGAATTCTATCAGATATCAGTATTGACAAATACAATACATCCATGTTTACAGGGATTGTGTGTATCAAAACAAGGCTTTGAAGCCCATCATGTTTGTTCTGTGTTTCTTTAATAATGGCATTCTGAGGTTTTGGAATTGCTCATGTGAAATATTTTACTACTTTCTTGATGTGAATGTCAACAGTAATTGCAGCATTAATTTCAGGTTGATGTGAATATTGAGATTTGCACTGTTTATGTAGAAGTAGTATATTTAAAGATCAGTGTATGTGCTAATAACACAACCAATTCTAAGTGGCCAATGTTAAAATATTGAAAAATAATTGTCAATGTAATATATTCAGGTTTGCTTTCTGAATGCTCTCTTTGGAAGTAATCTCAATAGTGAACATGGCTCATTTGTAAAAAGAATACTTTCCCTCTCCCCAATAAACTTGCTGTAAATACAACAAACAATCCACCATTAATACTTGTTATGTAGATGGTACGAGTAAACTGGGAGGTTGGAGAACAGGTTACTTGTAAAGTTTGCACTTTGAGGAGTTCTTGGAATTTGTTGTCTTCAGGGTGAGGACAACAAAAAAAAAATTTTCGGTTTGATTTCATTTAAGCTTAAGAAACTTTTGGATACCAGGTGGATTTGGAATATTGTGACCCAGCTGAAATAACTTCTTAAAGTTAGGAACGCAGTACAGTTGTTTCCCTGTTGGGAAATTTAAACTGTTGCTTGACAAACTGATGAAACAAAAAAAAAGAATGCTTGCACAAGATACTGAACATTAGAGATAATGGCTGCATTGTCAGAGTTGTTTTCACACAGGTTTTGAGAGACTATTGTGAGACTGAAATTATTAGAATACATCACTGGTATCAAAGACAACTTTTATAGATGACTATTTCTGTATCCTCTTTGTGTTCTAACAGTAGTTTTTAAAGAAAAATTTAAAAACAGGGTAATACTTTTTGGCAGGGGTAAGTACATTTAGGTGTTGCCTTGCATTTGCTTTGAACCAGTTACCTGGGGTAGCTGAAATGTTTATCACCTCTGACTTTCTGCTGCCTCCAGGTAACAGAGCTCTTGAGGAGGTGTGTTTGACACTAAGCTGTCTGAATTTTTAGATTAGTGTCTTTACATAAACAACTGCTGATCTCCATTAAAACTGAGTTGCAAACGAGGCAGCTCAAGAGCAGGTTTACTTCTTGTTCAGATGTCCCTGCAGGAGACTAGTTGCTCTTGGCAGAACAATGTTGTCTCAGCTTAACCTGTTGCCCAGCCTGGCACTCTAGATCATATAAAGACCATGGCCAAATTTTTCATATTCATACCACTATTTCAAATCTGAAGTGTACAAGCCAATCTTCATTAGTACTATAAATACTTTATATTGTCTTGGTAAAGAGGTGTTAGACTGTAAATTATGCTTATACTCAGATTAAGGTTCCTTCGCAGTGCTGCTATGCATCAAGCAACTTCAATGTCTAGTAGTTATATCTCTCTACTGTCAGAAATGTAATGCAGTCAGCAATATTGTGGGCAGATTTGTTTGAAAAATCAAATTTCTTATCAGTAAAGATTTAAATAACTAGTGTGGTTGTTAATCTAATCTTTAAAGTACTCGATATTCTGTATTTCCTTGTAATACTTTTAGAAACACAACTATTAGTAATTAAGAGGTAATTCTGCCTCTTTAGAGGAGAGGAGTACAAAGGAAGTAACATGACTCACTGTTCCTCTGGCTTAGTGAAATTTCTACACTTTTATACAAGAAAAAGCAGCTGAAATATTTATTGTTTCTTAACAGAAGGGTCAGTGCATTTGGCATATGTATTGCTTACTGCTACGAAAAAAATTTTATTAAAATGCTTTATTGAACAGTTCTGGAGGGAGTAACAAAAATACAGTATTGCATCAGAATGGGTTGAGGCTTCAAGTTGGCATTGCTGAGGTACATATTTTCTCAGCCCTTTTCCATGGCTACTTTTCTGAACAAGATAACGATACGTGCACAGCCCTGTTCCCTAGTGCTCATCCAGGAACGGAATAATTCTTGGCAGAAAATATTCGCAGAATGATGATGTATGTTTATTGGTTGGGATGAAGTGTTGCACAAGTGTCTTACATTTTTAATATGTGCATGTATTATGTGCATGTATGTAGATACATGCTGTATTGCATGTCTAGGCCTCAATTTAAAGTAATATGCCTTGTTTAAGAGAACCTGTACTTAAAAATGAGTTCTGGACTCACATGGGTTCAGAGGACCGGGCAAGGGGGCTACCACAGAAGAGAAAGAAGGTTGTGGAAAGTCAGAGATGAGAGGCTTCTGAGAAGATGTTTTCAGGGGTAAATTTCTCCCCTCGCTATCTCCATATGTGTGTAATATTCACTGACACTGAATTGCAAGCTTTCTTGCCACTTACCCACATTTCCTAACTCTGCAGGTCTGTGAGTATTTGTGTGTGTGTCTACACATGTGTATCTTTATATGACATTTTGGTCTTCAGGTGGAATTTTTTGTTATTTCTCAAGTATTGTTCCGGGTGTTTTTACCAAGTTGGTGGTCTTCATTCTTTTCCCCTGTATATGGCAGTCTTTCTCAGCACCGATTTTTACATTGTGAAACACGACATTGCCTTCCTTCAGTCGAGATAGTTGACTGAATATTCTGGATTGAGAGAACAGGAAATAACGTGGCTGTTTCTGCTGTAAAGAAATAAAAGTGCTTTTATCTTTGTCTACTTGTGAGAAATACTTCTCAGTTTGCTCCTTTGACCCACAGGGCACTGGATTCTGTAAAAAATAAGAAATGCAGAGCTGTTGGCTAGCTCTTGCCTGCCATTCCACATTTTTATATATCAGTCATTCAATAGATTTTTGGATGTTCAGAACACCTATGTAGAAAAGAAAACTGAGGATGATTCCTGTAGTCTGTACTAGTAAATAAAGTGATGCTTTCAATTACATAGACCAGCTGGAGCAGTCGTCTTTGTTGTGCCCGGAAGCAGCAAGAGCGGAGAAATGTAAGACACCTGCAATAATGTAAATTTGAAGAAAACCCATGTATTTTGGCAGCCTTCATGTTCTGTGTGATGGAAAGGGAAGTCTGCAACTGCCTGGGAATCAGTGGTAAGTGTTTAGGTAGATGAGATAGTATGGGCTGGTCTGACAGCTTACTGTCACCCACAGGGCCATTCCTGATCCTTTCTTCTGGCCACATGCTCCACCCTTTTCTTGGTTCTGGCGTTTGTATCACCTCTCATCCGGCAGACACGGGGAAATAAAAGTGTTCTATTAGCTTAGTTAAGGCATTTTGGTTAACACTGGATTAATTGATTTCATAGTTAATCCAAAGCGGTCGTAGTAATGAAAGCATTGCAATACCTAATATGCTATAATGCTATGATTTTTGAAAACTAGTATTTTATTCAGACGTCGAAAGAAATCCATACTATTCACACATAAAATCACTTTTTAAAATTGGCAACCAATCTGGCTGTATTCACAAAATTCATGCAGAAGTCTGCTAACTTCCTTTGAAATGCCAACAATAAAGCAGAGAAAAACAGAACTCTAATTGCTCAGGAACTGCTCAAAAAACCTATCACAGATGAAACTGCAAGCTGATTGCAAACTTGCTGCGTTTTTCTTAATACAAAGATAATTCTACTTTGTCAACAAAATCAAGCTTCAAATCTTAAAATTGTAATCTCATTTATGTTCATCTGATTTTCCTTCTTGTTGTTTTGTTTGTTTTTTTTTTTTTAAATACGTAATTGTCTTAGTGTGATTGTGGCCAAAGGTTTATTTTTCATAAGTAAGAAAAAATCTAAGGGTCTAGGCTAAGGCCTTGTGAATAACCAAAAGAATTCTGCTGGGAAAGGTAATCACTATCTTTAGCTAGTTTAGTTCAAAATATATATTACTGATATTTGCTGATAAACTACATCTACCCAATTACATTTTATATCAGTTATGGGTGTGATTTTGTGTGACACATTCAGCTATGCTAAAAAAGCTTTCAGGTGTAAACTAGTCTTTGGAACAACAGCAAAGTGAGAAGAAAGGGGGAAGTTGTATTTAAAGACGATGATGCAAAGAGGGGACAATGCTCAAGGTTTGTCTCCAAGTTAATGTTGACAGAGGTGACTAGGCGATAGTATCGTATAAGATGAAGGAGCTTGCTCATTAAATAACAGTATGTATCCTTTTTTTCCTTTAAAAATTAGTATACAGTGGAGAAGAGAAACTAAATTAATTCACAAAAGCAGCAAGTACCTCAAAGTTTTTCTCGGTTGCCTCCCTAATGAGTTCTCATCCTTTAAATATATAGCTCGGCTGTACATAACAGTTACTCTGTTGAAGCTATGCCTATTTGAGGGAACAGGATTCCACTGTCTGGTGATGCGTTCATTGTACAGTTACTGTACAAATCAAAAGTCAAGGTGCTATATCCCTCCTGCTTTTAATTTCAAGTGTTAATACTATTCTACTTAACACATACCACCATGTCGGTCCATCTGTATGCAGCCCTGGCAGGTCACTTAGTTCAATTTTAAAGCTGTCAGAATAAAAGGAAAGCTTGAGATCTACTTCAACACCAAAGTAAGAACAGGCCTTTAATCTTAACCTACGTCTGGATTACAAAAATGAATAAAAGCTTGGCATTGGCTTTCAGTGTTGACAGTCTTATCATTAAGATGCTACAGATACCTTTACTGTACTGATCTCTTTCACCTGTGGAGAAAGAAGCCTGCAAGATTAATTCCTGTCAGGAAAAAAGTGTCTTTTGCTAGAGTGCTAGTAGAAGAGATCATCTGTAATTTCTACCTTTACCTCTGAAGCTGTAAAGGCAAAAAATGAATTGGTGACAGATTCTGACAGCTGGTTATAAAGGAGCAGGCTGTGTTAATTTGCAGTAAGTGGAACAGTGCGTGCTGTTTCTTGTGTCAGTGTGGGCAGGG